CGAGTATTGAAAACGAGCAAAACTGGGGAAAAAGCGCCTGTAACAGATGCTCGCGCAAAACACAACGTATCTGATTATTATAAATTTGATTCATTGTAAAACCGAATAACCCGCACGTAACTATAAATTACGTATTCCAATCTGTTCGTGGGGTTCGCTGCGAAAAGGGTCCTTCATTCATAATTAGCGCTTAGTTACAATAATATCGTCGTTGTTCGGATATAAGTGAGCTTCGCAAGGACATAACGTATATGAGGAGATAAAAGGGATAATGATAAAAGGCAAAAAAGGGTTTAATGGTTTAATAAAAATGGTCCCTCGAAGCGCGTGCTTTATCATGATGTCGCCCGATTCGAGTAAATAAATGTGTCGCCTTTCTAACCGGAATTCGTTTTATTTTCAGATCCACCTGAAATTTCCGTCGAGAGGGCCGTCGTCCATTCGGGCGAAGGTTTCGAAGCGCAACTCGTCTGCATTGTTCATGGTGAAAGTCAACCCGAGGTGAGAATAGCTTTAATGTCGTCACGGACCGAAAAAAATCTCGAACATCGTTACGCCTTACAGGTTGATCACATCAAAATACTCTCTACTTGGATATAACTAACCTTTACGGAAGTATATGTTTTACAGTTCAGTAAACGGTTAATATTGGTATATTTGAAATGGCAGAATAATCGGCAAAGCAATTAACGTCTCCAATGTAAATCGAAATTAAGATTTCAAGGGTTAATTTAATTTTCGCCGGTTGTGCAAATTCTCGTAGGTTTAATCTACGCGTAATAATGTGTTTGTTCAGCTTAGGCGACGGTTTTTTCGTCACTCATAATCCGTCGAACGTAAATGTATTCAGTTAAATTAAAATAAAACACTTCACTTGCGAATTATTTCGTTTTTTCGAGCACGAATCGTTCTCGAGATCCGTGACGGCTTAAAACTTAAATTGAAGGTACAAAGACGCGCATGAAATCTGCATTAATTATAATGTATACGTAGTCTTATTTAAATTTTGTCGCGATACATTATAATAGAAGTCCAGCACCTCGTCAAAAATCGATACCCTGTATATTGCCGAGTTCAATTATAATTGAATGGCAACATATAATTGAATTTAATCACACTCGATAAATAAAGTAGGAACCGAATGGCTGTAATAAACAATCCATTACGTGTAATTAGCGCAAAAAGGCCACAAAACGCACGTGCGGCTTTCCATGTTATTTATTTGGATTATTAATGCAGATTGACTATTTAATCGGCGACTGTTTCATTGATCCAACCTTGTCTGTCTCGTGATTGCGAATACATGTCATTTTTCTCAGTTTCGTTTTGTTTGTTTTTACGTTTTGCTATCCGACTTCATGTAGGTTAAACACATTTCCAACCTAACACCGGAACAAAGCTTTTAATTTGTAAAGCACTTGTTGATTGCAAACGGGCGAGCAATTATAAATGTACTTTCAGCGTGTTGCACTTCAGAGTTTTTTAAATAATAAATTCTCTTGGCATTTTCGAGCCATGGTCGACCCTTTAAGCTATCGAAGATCTTTTAACAGGTGTTTAGTAGCCTTGAAATTGTCACCCAAAAGATTTTCTCTTAATGGACCTAGCTGTTCGATCTGTAGGGGACTTTTGAGGGTAGAATAACTGAAAAGGCTTCTAAGAACATTGAGACCCTTGAGATTTCTTTAGAAGATTGGAACTCTTGATACCGACACTTGAATCAGAGGTTTTCAACGTTCTTTACATTCTTGAGATCTTTGGAACTCTTGGATTTTTGACAACAATAAGACTCTTTAGCGATCGACTTTCGTATACCTTAAATTATTGAAGGTAACTGTTGAAACTCCCCAGACCTTTCTAATTTTTCCGAATACAAAAAACCTCGAAAAGCTCTTGGATATCCTTAAACAACTGAGGTTCTTTAAAATTCTCTATATGCTTACTGATCTGGAGATTCTTGAGACTCCTGACTCTGCAATTCGTTGGAACTGGAAATTCTTGTAACCATTAAAATTCCTGGACATTTAAAACTTTTGGAGTTTTAGGGACCTGTGGTAACGTCCTTTGAATCGTATAAAATTTTTTGGCGCTTGAGATCCTTTACAAGGTTGGGAAAGATACCCCCGAGCCCCTTGGGACTCCTGAAACCAACCTGCCGGTTGTCAAAATTTAGAGGTTCGAAAGTATTTTCCAGATGAATAGGGGTTTTATTGGAATTTGAACAAATAAATCGGTCAACTGCAGTGCAAGGAACTTGCATTTATAATATCTAGTTATTTTTTTTCTGTCGGGCATTGTTTCTTAATTGCTTTCGGAAATCGGTAGAGCCTAGCGTTGGGCAAAAAAATCGATTAATCGATTATAATCAAACGATAATCGATAATCGGGTTTGATTATTCTATTAAATTAATCGATTAATCGATTATTTGATTAATCGATTATTTGATTCATCGATTATTTGATTAATCGATTGTTTGATTAATCGATTATTTGATTAATCGGTTATTTGATTAATCGATTGTTTGATTAATCAATTATTAAGTAAATTTTAATTGATTATTATTAGGTGGATCATCAGTTTACGCAAAAAGGAGCACTAACAGCTCACAAGTATTATTTTATTTTATAGCGGATGTTAAAACGTCACTTTAAGCAGCTAAAATGAATTAAGATTGTATCATCAAAACTAAAGCACACCTCATCGGAGAGTAAGCTGCCTAATCATTTATTTTTATTTTTTTTGACCTTCATTTTCAAATGGGCATAGGGTTTCAGCCAAGGCTGTTCTACCAACCAACCCACTATGCATTTGCAAATATCCATGCCCGAACCCGGATTCGAACCAGGGACACTTTGTTGATTATTGATTAACCGATCTGCGTAGTAATGAACGATTTGATGAAAAGAGTAATGGAATTATTTTTTATTTTTATTATTAAATAATTAACGTATTAATGCATACAAACAGATATTTATCACTCCTTGTATGTGACAATCGACTTTTGATTAAACGATTAGGTGATTAATCGATTAAACGATTATTTGATTAATCGATTAATCAGTGTAATCGATTATTTTTCATAATCGATTATCGATTATTCAAACCCGTAATCGCCCAGCCCTAGTAGAGCCATAAAGTCTGGGGTTTGTGTTTTTTGCGGTGCCACATTGGTCAAGGTGAAGAAGTTCAAAGGTGGTTCGGTACTTAGCGACGAAGCCTTGCTCAAGCAGTCGTTGAACCCTAAACCTATCCCTCTCCTCAAGAATGTCAAAGTGAGAAGTAGATCAAGACCTCGTTCCGTCGTTCGCCCCGGAAATTTGGTGTGATATTTACCCTTTACGAATAATTACCTTGGACAGTTATGTACTTTCACTTTGAACTTTACTCAGCGATTACAAAACCCCTGGATTCATACGTATTGAATAATATTGTCATGAATAGCGTATGCTGAGCATCATGACTAAAACAAGCGATTGGGATATTCTAAGTGAACTTCAAATTCCATAAGGCTAAACTTGGGTGCCGTCAAAGTTCTCTAGTGCCCCTCCAGACGAAAAGCTTTGTCACCGTTCAAAGTTCAAAGGTTGTTCGCCGTTCAAAGTCCAAGGGTTGGCCCACATTCAAAGTTCAAAATTTGCTGGCCGCTGAAAGGCCAAAGGTTGGTCACCGTTCAAAGTTTAAAGGTTTATCACCGCTCAAGACCCCATTTTATGGGGTTATACTTCATTTTTAACGTAACCAGAGGTCAATGACCCCAGTTTTGTGGTATCATTTCATTTTCAAGACTATTAAAGTTCAATGACTTTATTTATTGCGAGGCCGTCAATTGTTTGTCGTGTCATATTACATTTTTGAGGTCAATGTCTCCTTGTTTATGGTGTTTTTCAACTCCTTGTAAAATCTCATAAGGCGATTTTCTAGTGTCAATTTCATTTTGAAGGTAACTTTAAAAAACTAAGGTCTAAGGGCTAACAACCCCACGACATTAAAAATCAAACATTTGTCGTAGGGACGCCGGAGGGAGAGTGTGATGTCATTAACCTCAAGTTTGAACTTGTGGGGAGAGGGAGTAGTGATTATAACTACCCTCGAGTTCAGGCATATCGAATATTGTCAATGATGTGATGGATAGCAGTCGTGGACCAACTCAAGCGATGGTCATATAGGGATAATAACGATATCCTAACTCTACTCCACGTAAAATTCCATGAGGTGAAATTCAGGTACCGTAAAGTAGTGCCACTCTCTTCCTGAGGACGACTTTCAATACATGTGGTGATCTTCGAAGTTAAGTTCGTGTAAGGTTCAAGGGTTGATCGCGGTTTAAAGTCCAAAGTTTGTTCGTCGTTCAAAATCCAAGGTTCAAAAGTTTCTTGACGTTTAAAGTTCAAAGGTTGGTCGCCGTTCAAATTTCAAAGTCAAGACAAAAAATGTTGGCACAGAATTGGGTGAGAGATAGTGGATATTGGAATCTCGCCGACGTTAGAATTTATTTACGTCAAACTTAACCGAAACTCGCGTCTTTCTGGGGTCTGGGGGATATGAAATAACCCGCAGTATACGTAGACTTTATTACGATGAGTACACAAATGATTTCATGATGGTTGTAGAGGCAAGTTTTCCTTTGATGAGGGGTATCCCATCCCCCCCCCCCCCCCAATACCCCGGTTTCGTGCTGTTGCCGAAAACGGGTATTCCTGCCTATAGTACTCACCCTATGCATTTCGGTACTGGGTGATTCAACGTGGCACTAAAGGTAAGTTGGGTGTGGAAAGGAAGAGACTCCTCAAGGGGTAGAGTTTTGCGAGGAAACTTTGCACCGGGGGGTATTCCATACCCCCCAGTACACGTACACTTCATTCCTCTACGTACACAAATAATTTCATGATGATTGTAGCGAAAGGCTCCTCAAGTTTTCCATCACTGGGGAGTATTCCATACCCCCCAGACCCCCCGGTTTCGTGTTTCTACCCAAAACGAATATTACCACCCTATGGTACTCATCCCTATGCATTTCGGTACGGGGTTTAGCACTACAGACAACTTGGGTGTTACCTTTTCGCACCCCTTTCTCATTTTCTTCGCCCTGCCTTTTCCAAGCTTTTCTCACGTTGCATTGTATTTTATTCCCTCTTCCCTCTTTCCACTTTTTTCAAGTTTCCACCTTCACGCATAGATCGCGCCCCCTTCTTATCTTAATCTCTTATCCTTTTATGCTTTGCTCGGGTAATATTTGCGCCTTCTTTCTTACAAGCTTTCAAAAAGAAATTTTTAAGAACCTTTAAGGTGTAAACAGAACAGGGTTCTGCCTTCGGGTAGCTCCAGCCGGCTGGCCAGAGATCGAAATTCGTATTGATTGAAATTGTTTAATTAATAAAATAAAATAAACACACAACAAGGTGGGAGATGTAGAAGGGATTGCAAATAAAGGATGGGGACGACAACAGGCGACATCTAACGAGGGGATTTTACAAAACATAGTACAGGATGTTTCACAAAT